GGGCTATGGACCCGCCGATCGCCTATATGTGAAACACCCGGTAACGGGTGTGTGCATTTAGCGGGTCTTTTCTGCCCGTGCGTGCCCGCTAGGGGGCGCGCGCGAGCAGAAAAAAATTGCCGTCTGGAGACGGCAACCCGCAGATGCTGCAGTGCCGTCCGTCCGTTTTTTTTACTACGGGCGGACGGCAAGAGGTTAAAAACCTGTTGTGTTTTTTTTTTTTTACTAGCGGGGCACTAAAGGGTTAACTTTAATTTACAAGGGCTTTGTTGCTTCATATCTCTGAGGAGAATACAGTATTATCATCAGAGATACTTTGTATCGCTTTGTAATGCACTAAGCCGGCTTCCAGCTCCACAACACATTGAGCTAAAAGTCGGCTCAGTAGCTGTCACAGCAATTACCCATCGCTGTGATCATAGTGGGACAACCTAAATTGCTGCTGAGGGTCTGCCTCGTACCCAGAGGGACCCAGCAACAGCAGTAACTCAAACGCTGATCCATGCACGGACCAGCGCTCACTCTGCTGCATTACTGGATTATTCCGTCACCGGTGGTTAAGGAACTGAAAGACTGTGATGGAATAATCCTGCCATTGGTCGGGAAGGGGTTAAGTAACCTGGAAGAATTGGGCAGCCAGTGAGTAGTAGGAGAGCCCTCGACCTTTAGAAAGGAGTTGACTGCGGAAGCTGCTATACTTTCATCCTGGCGGGTTCCTTTTTAATTGTCATGTAACCAAAGTATAAAGCAAGGCAAGCGGCGTGGCACCCATTTTAAATGGCCATAGCAGGTGGGAGGAGCTGGGAACCGATCTACTAGAATCCTCCCGTATTCTGAAGAATGGACAATTTTCTCACGTTCGAGACTTTATAGGCTTGGATGCTGGGATGTCCTCTACTGGTCCCGGTGTCTCTGGTTTGGTCATTCCTGGTTTGGTCATGGTTCCCCCGCGTCTCCCTGGTTTGGTCATGGTTCCCCCGCGTCTCCCTGGTTTGGTCATGGTTCCCCCGCGTCTCCCTGGTTTGGTCATGGTTCCCCCGCGTCTCCCTGGTTTGGTCATGGTTCCCCCGCGTCTCCCTGGTTTGGTCATGGTTCCCCCGCGTCTCCCTGGTTTGGTCATGGTTCCCCCGCGTCTCCCTGGTTTGGTCATGGTTCCCCCGCGTCTCCCTGGTTTGGTCATGGTTCCCCCGCGTCTCCCTGGTTTGGAGACTTTTCTTGCTCTGGCTTTGTTTTGTTGCGTTTCCCTTTTAATGCTCATGTTTGATGTATTGAACGGTGACTGTTGGCTGGCTTGTGTCTTTCCTCGGTATCGGCCACCACAGGCCTATTTATTTTCTATTAAATCTGAGCCGTTCAGTTTTTTTGATGAGCTTGTCACAATCTCTTTTGGATTAGTGTGAGGATGGACGGCCTCTATATTAAGACTTAGATCTCTGCGCCTTCTACATGTTCTAAATGGGGCTTTTTCAGCCGCTGCGGCATCATTTGGAATTATGTCTATTTTTATGGCAGCATGGCTTAATCTGTGCCGAGGAGATTTGGGGGGGCGGGGAGACTTTCGTTCCTCAATTTTATATCAAATTGAACTCTTTGCTGTTGCCCCCTTTTTCACATTGACCGGTATGCGCGGTGTGAGATGGGAATATATAGGTTTTTTTTGTTATTTTATTATTGGTGAAAGTATTCTCTCATTATATTGGAGGGGTACAGACTGAGGGCACAAGGATTTGCTGTGTTGCCTTTAGCCCCCCAGTTAAATCACGCCGGTTATTCGAATTCAGTTTTGCAGCCTCTGGTTTAGACTTTACAAATGGCTGGACGGGTCAGTAATTGGCAGACAGTCCCTGACGTGGGGAGGTGTCGGGCATCTACGGCAGTCTGACATGTTTGTTGCACAAGTTGTCTCTAGTAAAACAAATGACGCATAACCAGCAATGACGCCGCTATCTCCCTTTCCTCCCAATTTCAGAGATTTTAAGGGCTGCAAAATTTTGTTTGCAGACATTCAAACAGGCCAAACTGTGACCAAAATCTGGTTTGCGTGGGACACGGATAAAATACAACCAAAAATTGGGGCTGAGGTGACAGACTTGTGGTTTGTCAGACTCTTGATGGTCAGTCACACCTCCTATTCATCATGGAGGCCAGGTGTCACTGGCTCGTTGTACATACACTTCCTGGACCTAGCCATTCATTCAATGCACAAAGTGTAGATTGTATTACATTGTGGTGTGTCCGTCTGTCCAGTAACTACAATCTTATAACCTGTCATACCACTGTGTAACTTTTGTCCCTTCCTGAAATAAACAAACCTGCTATTCTCTGCTTCCAATGATAACCATACAAAGGCTAAAAGAAGTGATGGTCATCTTTATACAGAAATATAAAATTACATAGTAGAAGATAATGGATACAAATGTAGAATTATCACTAAGACGACACAAAAAAGAGAATACTTTACGTAGAAAGTCCGTCCTCAGGTTCTAGGTCTTGGCTGGGATCAGAGGGAACACAATATGGCTGAGCACTGGCTTTTATAATACACATGACCCATTCATACACAGACACCCCTTTACCCAGAAGTCCCAATGCCCCTTTTAGGTCTTTCAGCCAATCAGCATCTTCCTTAAAGGAGAACTATGACGTAAGTGTTTTTCCCCATAGTTCTCCTGAGGGTCACGGGAGGACAAAAACTAGCGTCCTCCCGTCACCCTAGGCTCAGTATATAGGGGGCTACAGCTCGAAATATACTGAGACCGGCACAGTCGGGACAGTTCCTGACATAACTGTGGAGATCCACCCAGCTGCGTGATTGACAGCTGGCTCTGCCTATCTAGTGGCAGAGCTAGCTGTTCCCGCCCCCTCCCCTGACTGACAGGGGAGGGGGGGACAGGGGAGGGGGGGAATCTCTGCAGGGAGCCGTGAGTGACAGTCACGGCTCTCTGCAGGGAGATCGAGAAGTGAGCGAGCAACGGTATGTGTTCCCTCACTTGCCCATCTATAGAGCCGAACTGTCATACGTCGGCTCCAACTATGAGGAGTGATTTTCACTCGCCTCATAGTTCTCCTTTTTTTAAAGATTTGTCATCATGCACTGAAGTCCTCCAGCAGGGGGCACCGTCGTACTGCAGGTCATTCTATGGTCTAGGTCAGGGGTAGGCAACCTTGGCTCTCCAGCTGTGCTGAAACTACAAATCCCATCATGGTTCTGCCTGTGGCTTGCAATGCCTTATGGGATTAGTAGTTTCAGCACAGCTGGAGAGCCAAGGTTGCCTGCCCCTGGTCTAGGTCAACACCTTGTCCTTTGGTTATGAGGGTGTTTCCCAATGTGCATATAACCCTATCAACACCACAGGGTGCCATACGTGAACGCCTTTCCAGGAGATTGGATTCCTCCTCTCGCTTGCTATACCTTCTGCGGGGATGAATACCATGGCCTCCGGCACTTCTAAACACAGCTGGTTTCTTTGATGACCCAAGCAATCTTAGATTCCATATATGAAGGTAGATGTTCGTTAGTATATGAAAAATGTTGTTGTACATTCCAACGAACACTATACAAGAGGTCGTCGGAAATGACCTTTTCTGTAGCTTTTATTAAAAGTGTACCTGGTGATACAGCCGTGAAGCTACTTCATACACTTCCTGTTATAGGATGGCTACGCTGTCCTTTGTACCAACTGTGTTCCTGTGTTGTCACCTGCCACATGGCTGGTAAGGACCAAATGTGTGCTTCAATGCAATGCAGCCGTTGCTGGCGTTTCCTGTAGGTGGGACGTTGCCATGCAGCTGTTGCTGGCGTTTCCTGTAGGCGGGACGTTGCCATGCAGCCGTTGCTGGCGTTTCCTGTAGGCGGGACGTTGCCATGCAGCCGTTGCTGGCGTTTCCTGTAGGCGGGACGTTGCCATGCAGCCGTTGCTGGCGTTTCCTGTAGGCGGGACGTTGCCATGCAGCCGTTGCTGGCGTTTCCTGTAGGTGGGACGTTGCCATGCAGCTGTTGCTGGCGTTTCCTGTAGGCGGGACGTTGCCATGCAGCCGTTGCTGGCGTTTCCTGTAGGCGGGACGTTGCCATGCAGCCGTTGCTGGCGTTTCCTGTAGGCGGGACGTTGCCATGCAGCCGTTGCTGGCGTTTCCTGTAGGCGGGAAGTTGCCATGCTGGCGTTTCTGGCGTTTCCTGTAGGCGGGAAGTAGCTGCAGGAGATCACCAGAGGAAACATAAAATGTGACGGGGCAATTCATGATGTACAACAAACTAAATGCCATTCAGTTGGAGTTTGTGAAACTCCAGTGAAATTGTTTTGCATAGGGACTTGAGTCCTTTCTGGTTTTTATTGCGATCTCTGAGTTGGCGTAAGGCGGTGTTGGAGTTAATTGATCGTTACTTTATAAGCATTGGCTATGCAGATGTGCACCCCGTTTCTGAGACCCCATCTTGTTTTTTTTTTTTTTATCTCCGCAGACCTAGAAGTAGACAATGGCCGACCTGGAACTTGGCGATGCCTTAAAGGACGCTGCACCAGAGATTGAACCTGAAATTAAGCGGGACTTCATCAGCTCTCTGGAGGCGGAGCCCTATGATGATCTCATCGGGGAGAGCTGTGACAAGACGGACTATGTTCCATTGTATGATGATGATGAGGCAGATCCAAAGAATAAGCTTGCTGATGGAGGCCATGCAGAGTGTAAGGCTGTGTTCTGCCCGGTGGTGGTTTATAGCAGACATTTCATTCATGTGCACGCCGGTCCTGTTTGAATTCAGCTGCTTTTACAGTGCGATGGCACCAGACCAGACTCGGTGATATTTCCGATGGTGGTGTGAGCCCGCTGTGACACTTGATTGATGTTATAATGCAGCCCGATTGTCCCATCATTTTTATTAGTTTGATCATGTGACTGGTCTGTTTTTTCTCATGGTGCCCTTTTTACATCTGGCAGGAAACCCAATGAATGTCCCGTAGGCATAAAAATGCTTCTTTCCTCTAAGAATAAGTGTACCTCTGCTACAGAATACCGGCTTTGATCACAAGTCATACAGAGCTAGCTGATTATTTCAAAGGGCTGTGCTCGCTGCTATATCCCCCATAGCAAACTACATCTCCCATCATTCAGTTTGTCACAGC